TCCCTTATCGTCTGTTACAGTAGCTTGCACAGCTCCTCTTCCTCCGTGTACTGTAGCAGGTTCTTCAGTCGATCCTTAGTGACAGTTATCAGTTGTGATGCGTGAAGCAAATCTGAATCTTCCTCTTCTTTTGGCGTGTCTGATAGATACGTTCTCGATAGCGTGTCTGCGATATGCAGTTCGAGCCATATTGAAGAGCCATACTTTTGAAGAAGTATGAGCATCCTCTGCAAGCGAATGGTTCTGGCAGTGGCAAAAGGTATTCTGGTTAACTTTTCGACGACTACTGCTTCTTCCTGTGGTTTCATGTCAGCACCAACCCAACGTTTCAAACGTTCAAGTGCGCGTTGGGAAGCTCTCGCTATATATATATATATATATATATATATATATATATATATATATATATATATATATATATATATATATATATATATATATATATATATATATATATATATCGACAGGAGTCCATGGTGCGCTGAGCTCGAATTGCTGCTCTCATTGTTTTGCTGTCGGATTTATGTCCTGGACGCCTCTTCGTGGCGACCGCTGGGTAAGAGTTGGGTTACATCTTCTAGCTAAGAGTCAGGACACATAATTCCGCGCGAGTCGGTTCACAGAATCATGGCGCTCGGCCCCCTGCCTTACGTGTTCACATTTTATTGTAGGCTTTGACTGAAAACCCGAGCCGTTCACTCGTTCAAGTGTGGACGCCCTGGCAGTATACAGTCCACAAACTAACCATGAATTACGCCTATACAGGTTATCTCATGCTGCATCGGGCGTCGCGTGGTTGCCTGAGGAAAAGGGTCCCTCATCTGATGCATACAGCGGGTTGGATAACCGAAAAGATGCTACCGCTGACGTCTACTTTCTTCTTCCCAAATTCACCTTATCAACTGCTTCCACCAATCCAGGTCGCTACACGAGCGATCGCTCAGTGCAATTTTATACCTCCGCATAAAGCACTCAAAATCGAGTGCTGAAACGTGAGCGCACTACTCGACTAACACGCGAGTGGGCGAGACGAGCAACGCACTGTACTGGTCGCGATGGAACTCGCGCGCTATTGGATCGATAATGTCACGTTCAGCGAGACACGTCTCGCTGACAAAGACAAGCTGCATGCGGATGGTGCCTGTTATACGTAGGACTGGGTAAGAAACGCAACTACAGCACCACGTGAACATGGCGTCAGATTTGCGATATATCCGACCGCCTAAATGGCCAGCTGGTGGCAAAGACAATTAGCATCAGCCCGCGATTGACGACATTTCGCCTGCGGCTTGGAAGAGATAAGTTTGCCAGTTTCACCAGCAGGTATGATCCCACCATGTGTTACCCTGATGACATGAGGGATGAGTTTTAAATTAAGTTAGCCTCTGTGATACGGTTTGTGAGAGGAGTGACCGGCTATTCCTGCTGCGTGATTTCAATGTACAGGTTGGCGTGACGCCGCGGTGTGAACGAACGTAAACGGTCCGTATGGCATTGACACAGCCAATGGTAACAGTGACATTCCGTCCTCACCGTTTCCCAGCGACGACCACAAACACACTTTGCACTGGCTGCGAGTGATATTCATACGTGAACACACCACCCATGGAGTGGTCATACTCACCTGCTCGAATATCGCATCACAGGCCGGCGTGACATGTGTGAAGTGCGGATGACACGTGTACTGATCGCAAATTAGTGTTCACCAAATTAAACATAGATTCCCGTAAACCTATACTATTTTTCTGCCTTGAAACGGCGATTTAATGTCCATTCTATTGGTACCGTTCAGAAGAGAATTGAACTGGAGAATGTGATGGTTAACTCCTCTGGCGATATCGACTTCAACGCTTCAGTCAGCGACCTATCGCACCACGCCGCAAAAAGGTGGCCGTTGCGACCGAGGAAACAATCAGGCCCGATTGGTTCCAGGGTAACAGCGCGACCAATGGCGCGTTGGTGTCGGAGAATGCAGCGTTCGCTGCGCAAGTGGATGACCCTACGGATGCAAAGAAGAATCATTTTCGCAAACTTTGACGGCGAATGAGTTGAGAACTCGGTCGCAACAAGGATGCTTGGTGGACGGAGATGGCGAAGCAGACGGAATGCTACGCCGAGCGCCACCAACACAAGTAGTTCTATGACTCCTTGTGAAGTGTATGGACCCACATTGTTGCCGATTAGGGGGCTGGTGGACGCTACTTCGGTTGGAAGCACATAGGCTGAAGACATTATACAGCTATGGCGAAATCATTTCGACTGCTTCTTGAACAACCGTTTCGAGATTGACCGGAATATGTTGCACGAGCTGTAACAAAATATAAAGTACGATCTTGTCGACACCCCAGCGCTCGCTCAGCTGTGAAAAGCAGTGCGTCGATGCTGATGGAACGCCGCCATAAGTGCTGAAGAATGGAGGGCATGTAATGCGCTGCACTACTTTGTGCAACAAGTGTCGTTTGAAGAACAGAGCCTAGCTGAACTAAAGGGTGTCCTTGTGCAACCACCGTACAATGGCAGAGGAAGAAATCAATATACCAACAGTTATCGTGGTTTGCTAAGTTGCGTCGGAAGATGATCGCACGGATCCTGTTCAACAGCCTCGCCAATGAGGTCCCTGAACCATACGTGGCTGAGAAGCAATGCGGATCCCGTTCATGCAGTAGCACCATGGACAGTGTTCGCGGCTCATCAATAGCAGAAGTGCAGTGAGCGAAACCAAAAATTGTACTAGCTATTCAGCGACACCACCAAGACATTTTCACAGTGAACCACGAGGCACTGTGGCTGGTTTTAAATAAGTTCGTTTGCTCAGGTGAGTCTTATCGAATGCTTTGCACAGTGATACGCGGGCGAAAGTGCAACTATGTGGACAAACCTCGCGTGATTTCGATGTTGTCTTTCGTATGAAGCAAGACTGTGTCTTAGCTCATACAATGTTTAATATGCATCTAAGCATCAGGTTGGCTTGCCGAACAAGCTACCCGTGGTGTCACCTGGGTGGTTCTGGTTTCTCCCGTCCCAGCAAATGGCTCGGACGTGGTGAGTGTTCGCCTGACAAGCGTTCTCCCCATAAAAGCCACATATGTCCGTTTAACAACACTGTGAGGTGACTCACCACTAATTAAGGTCACTGCCCTTCGCATCACTGTGGTAGAGCATTGTATTCCAGCAACGTGATGATGAAACTAGATATGCGGTGTGTGGATGAAGCTGTGGGTGGTACAGTGCGAGCCACTGATGGTTTCACCGTAGGTGCAAACATCATGTGGCTGCTCGCAGTCGCAGTGGCATGCAAAGCTGGAAATGGATGCTGCCGACCATATGTTCGAGTGAAAGTTTGCTGACATGTCTAGCTGATTGTTATGCCTCACGAGTGAGTTCGTGGTCGAGTTTGGGGTGACTCGTGATGCAACACGCCGTTGTTTCTGCCTAGCATGTCGTCCACCGAAAGAGAATTATTTGGCAGCTGAGTGGCGTGAAATAATGACTGTAAGGGGTTAATATTGCATATTCACGAGCCGAATTTGGGGTCCTGAAGGGTGAAGTACTACAACACGAAGCAGCAGCAGTCACTGGGAATCTGAACAACGAAATGAGAAGATTAATATTGGCAGATGCTAGCATGTCGTATTATCTCGGTAGTACCAATACAATAACAGGGAAATCCTTTTATAGGTTTTACAGGGCACAGTCAAGCCAATCAAATTTATGGTCGTAGTCATTGTTGTTGGGATTAGGTCCACGGCAATCGCAGAATGAAAAGTAATTGCTTTTGGACACACAAAGCTGGCCTAATTCGGCTTATCGCGACGGCCTCGGCAAATCGTAAAAGACGTGCATTAGTATGACGTAACAAGATCCGGAACGCCGATAAGGGATTAACCCGGTGACGAGCCGCCAAGATGTGCCTGCCTATGGAGAATGCTGGCGGCTTACGAGGGCATGTATCATGCGAGGGGGAGAATTGAGTAACTTCGCGCTGAACCCAGTTTGGTAAGTGTTCCTTCATTCTGGAATCTAAAACCCGTTCGGTCCTGCAGAGGCAACTGATCCCGCAGTTACACACGAATTGGTAGACACAATGTAATTTGGCGCCGACGGGTTCATCTTCCTTTACTGAAGGTAATGGCAACTTCCAGGTTCTGTTGATAATCACCGCCTTCACAGCACAGTACGTACGCTGAATGGCCGAGACAATGCGTTTGGTTATCCTTCTTACTGCGGTATCACCCTTGAATAGTAGCTCGATGTACACCTTTTTCTTGGGGACTGTCAAGGCCATCTCCTTGGGCTGTCTAAGTTGGCTATGTTTATGAATCGCTTTGGGTTGCCATTCTCCATAAGCGTTTTAGTGATCAGCTCAAACTCCTCAGACAGGCAGTCGTTGGAGCAGATACGTCTGACCCGAGTGAATAATGTTTTTACCAGCGCGCGCTTGTGTGCCATCGGTGAGAAGCTAGTGAAGTGTAGGTATTGACCGGACCACGTTGGCTTCCGGTATACAGATCGCTTAATCAGCCCATTATCCCTGCGACTCATGAACATGTCGAGATACGGAAGATGCCCATTCGATTCGAATTCAAAAGTCACCTACAGGTTGGCGTGAACATTATTAAGTTGGTCTACTAATTGTTCGATTTGCATCTTCGTGGAACCGAAAACAAGAATATAAGCTACATATCGTTTGTAGTACGGCAGTTAAGAAATCTGTCTACGTAGTTTCCTCTCAAGCCTCAACATGAAAAAATCAGCCAGTACCGGGCCCAACGGACTACCCACAGCCACTCCATCAATTTGGCGATATGAGGTGTGCTGGAATCGGAAAGCGACATTCTCCGTGCAAAGTAACAGGGACTGCCTCAGGAGGTCTGTCGGTATTGGTAGACTGAAATTCTCCTCTTCTATCAGGTGGCAAATGTAATCAACTGTCTCTAGCAAAGGGACATTAGTAAATAACAACTGGACTGAGAATCGCCCGGTGGATGATGTGACAAACACAAAGAGGAAAGACCATATATTTCAAAGTAAAGGCTTTGTACAACGAGTTAGGTAAGGCGGTCTTCATTGACTGTTTACGGCAATCGGGTGCTAAAAGTACGCATAAGTTCACCCAAACGCGCTTTATCTGCTGTGGCCGAATCAGTTGAATCACCTAAGTTATCGACGTGGTCTGTTAAAAACAGGAAACATCGTGATGGGCTTGAATGGTTAAAATGAAAACAGACGTAGTTAAATAGAGATAGATAGTTTAAAATAAAGGGGTAACCATGACTTAAACTTCAGTGCCCGTCGATTGCAATATGTAGCATAACGAGAAGCTAAGAAAGGTAAGTGTAGATGCTGTTGCTGGGATAAAGTTTGACACAAACTAAAGCAACAAGGAGGCAGTAAATGAAAGTCCCAAAACAGGTAAAAGCGAGTACAATGTGGGTAAGAAACTCTGAGAAACCAAGTAAAATCAGACCTAATGGGATGCACAACAACGACTAGAGTATTAGCCAACGGTTGTTTCGAGCTTTCGGGACTCGCCTATCGCGTGAAGTTTCCCTTTTGGGACGAAAGAGCTAACGTGGTCTTATAGACTAGGCTAAAATATTCGAACTATGAGAAAATCCAACAGAATATGCTTCTATTCCACTGGATGGTGCTTTTGTGCGAGGCACAAACGTATCCGTCAAAGTGGTGATACTATGGGACGAATCACGTAACGGTTCTAAGAAGTGGTCTCAGCCAAGGAGTCGAGATTTTAGGACTGGCTCAATTATATCACGAGTTTTATGGTCGAGTAAGCCCATGTTTTCACTCGACAAGTATAAACGAACCGCGGATCAGAATCGAGCCGGAAACATCATGGCTGTCTAGCTGGTGTCCCTACTGCCAGAGTATCGAGTGCGGATATGTATCGTTTGTTTAAGTGCTCAAGAATCCGCTGTTGATTTTTGAGCCCGTGATGGGTTTCGAACTATGTGAGCTGGACCAAAAGTTAGGTTGAAATAAACGCTAGCCATATTTAACCCCGGAATCGTGCCAAAAACTAAGACTTCACTGTGAAGACAGTGAAGTCCGTGACCAGTTACGCAATTTACTGGGCTTACTACGTAAAGATAGCCGCAGAGCTAAGTCAAAACAAAAGGTTAGTGGCTCCAGCGGATATCTTTGGACGCAAAGTAATCAGACGTCGAGGTAATGTAAAGAAAAATTAACGAAACCTGTCAAGTGCGTTGCGCGAATCGGCAATTATCTTTTTCCATTCGACTTCCTGCGTTCCAATGAGTCCAGAAAAAGTGTGAAGTTAACAACCGCTTCACAATAAAAAGGGCAACTCGCTGCCAAAAGCACACACACACGACTGCGTATAACTAGAGGGAAATTACGTTACAGGTTATCTATAAACCTGATCACCAGAAGAGTTCTTACAGAGAGGAGTTCAGACGGGACAGAATTAGTTGAGACTATAAGATATACATGCAAGATAAATCGACATCTGACAAACCTTGGGCTACACGCAGTATGACGCTGGGGGAAATTGATCGCATTTTCAGTAACTGGAGCATCCGTTCCATGACCTGAGAGAGAAAAGTGGAACGAAGTAATACTCGGATAAAACGCGCAAGTTTAAATGGAAGGTGTACTGTTAGCAATGTACAACCGTTGTGTGTAGTGCGATACAGGAAGTTAAGGAAAATAATCCTCGACTTATCGCATTCGGAAAATAAGGCCCGCACCTTAGGTTCCTATATTACCCATAGAATATAAAGTATACCCTGATAAAGGATGTGACTAAAGGAGTATAACAATGTGTATGAGAGATTATAAGCAAAGGGAACAGCTTAAAATCAATAAGGATCAGCAGAACTATATGGGAAATAACTGTGGTTGCAAAAATCCTCATAGTATACTCTTTTATAATGGGTCATTGAAGAATATGTACACGTGTACGGAGCTCCAATGAGGAAAAGCCACAGCTACGAACAGGTGGCCTACAGTGAGGCTGATGCGACGTACGGAAACCGTAAAAAATTGGCAAAACCCATACCGAAGACACAGAATGTGTCGTCTTAGAGAAATGTGCTTGATAGCATAATAGATACAGTCTCAAGGTAGCCACTAAACAGCTCTCAATGACGTAACACTGAGTGCAAACGAGTAACCAGAGAATTCGAGGCTTTGGTAGAATGTCATGAACGGGTTAGTAGGGTAGTAAACATGGCCGCGAAAATAAAGCCTGCACAGCCTATTTGATAACTAGGAGGAATATCCGCGTTCGAATTCCTGTATTAAAAATTGAGCACGTAAAGGCTGCCATCAATCTCCAGTGTGTGTTACGTGCTTATTACGTGACGTGTATTAACCTGGTGAGTTTCAAGGAGAGTAAAAACAGTGTTATCAAACCTGGACCTTGCCGACCATCACTCGACGGCATACCTGTCGACACTGTGGTTCATCTTTCATTAAAAAAAACCGAACATAGTGTTATATCAGGCGTTTTGCATTACCTGAGGTATGCAATCATATGGACGAGATTGATTTACGTGACGAAGCAAGTAACCAGATTGCCGCAAACAAACACAGCGTTTATGGTGATTGGTTAATATTTGGCGGCGCTGAAGTGAGTTTCTTTGAGCGAAGCAAAGGAAGAATCTCATGAATGCAGAAACGTCGTTTGTTATGGAAGTGGCTTACTACAGGTCTGCCAGGCTGTCAGTTTCACCGGAGTTGCTTTGTTGAACAAACCGTCTGTCCATGAAAGACTGAGTTCTCCGAAATGGTTTCAGAGAAAATTAAGACAGTCCCCAAACGGCTCTCAGTCACCGATTGGAGTACAACCAGCTGTGCAAACATGGCAGGGCCTTTAAATGTAGCCGTGCTCTACGTTCCTCTCAAGAAATTGCAAAGACATGCGCCTTCAAGGATACCATATATAAACCTATCGTTTTACTCACCTACTGCTCTAGATACGATTAGTGTCATGATTATTTAGACTCGTGAAATCTTGAAATGGTTATGCATTTCCGCGCAAGTGATAGACACATTTAGATGTAACCGAAGAAAAGTGAGGAAAATTTACAAAAAACGTAATAAATTTGCAAAGAAGCATCGTGCTGGATGGAGGGTTGCTTTGTGGAAGAAACATTTCTCAGTATCAACGTCTGCTCACTTTTTAGAAAAATACAAGACCTTAAAAGCAACATCTGCTGTCGCGAATACGCGCAGCTAGGGGTAATTATGCGACAGGAAACCTGGCTTCAAAAAGATGTTGAAGACGTTAGTTTATCAGTTGACGGTTTCATTTATCACCGTGCTGATCGCCCTGCATGTTTTGCAACCGGGATGATGGTGTTATCACTTTTATTAACGCTTCCTGGTGCTCATCAGTGAAGAAAATGTTCTGCTATTCGTCGCAACGTATCGACTGTCTAGTTTTAAACTGCACGTCAAAATATCTGTGGATACTGCTCAAACTTGTCAGCCAACATTTATATATCCCTCAGTTGTCCAAGCTCAGAAGCAGACAAATCTTACGATGACTTCACTGCTGCTGTCATTGTACACATGGACCATACAATATGCATATTTGTTGGTGATTTCAATGTTTGACACCACATACCTCACAACACTTGGACCACAGAACATCGTGAAATACGCCACCAGGTAAGAAGCAACCCTAGACGTAGTGTTTGTTAACAACCGGAAGATATTTGCAGTCAGTACTCTGGCACCACTTGGAAGCTCTGATCATTTCATAGTCAAACTATCTCTTGTCGTCTACAGTAAGACAAACCATAAGGAAGTCACTCGCTACATTGAACGTAAATTAAACGGAGAAAAACTAATCCCAGAAACATAGCACAAGTGAAAGGAATGGTTGGCCTTACAGATATGTTTGTTTTTTGATGTAGATGTCTCGAGATATTGGGACCAGATGACAAGTTATCTGAACTTCTGTTTTGATCACTGCTGTCCGATGGAAACTATCCTTATTCGTGCTGACCGGTTCTCCTTACCACTCCTCAAGCAGCTGCGTGGATTTAAGGAGAGTTTACAAAGTCAAAGATCGTGCCTCAGTAAGGTTCATGAATGAAAAGAAGCGACTTCTTGACTTGACATAGAGAGGCACAACTTGATTAGCCACTGAAAAATTTGGAAAAGCAAGTGGATTTATTTCTGCATACTGGCGCGTCTAGAAGTACGACCGATGGCGTATCGCCCGGCGATATTTCGATACAGTAAAGGAGACAGTGGAAACTGCGACAGGAAACACATGACTAACTGTATGAGCTCCATTAACGCAAACGTCAAGGATGATGATATCCAACATCTGCAGTGCCAACAAGCCGCCACCTAATCGTTCCATAACCAGGACATCCTCGACTTCTTCGGGCGTGTAACCAACCCATCGTCGAGTATCCTACATGGAGAAGTAAAAGATGGAGATTTGGTTAGACACAAATCGTCAATCGACATAACACAAGTTTAACAGCGCTGACAATGCCACTAATTTTGGCAAAATTGCTATTACAGCTGTAGACGCGGTTAGAGATGGCGGATCTTAACGAAATGAGCTTAAAACGTCAACCGAAACAAGTGCTAGATCAGGAAGACTGTGGTGTAGTGATACATAGTACGCTGACAAGCCGAGTTAGAAAGTATTGTTCATTCTATGGATCGGGAACTCAGTGCAGGTTCTGCATGATACGACGGTGGAAGTAATACTCCAAGTCAACTGGAGGAAGTGTGATAAAAGGAGTGAAAACTTTACAGAACGGTTCAACTACGGAGGAGAAAGTGTAGCCAAGCCACTACAGCCACCATTCCCGCTCCCTTTATGCTTCCGCCGATGTTGTGGATGATATCGAGAGTATGTATCTCGATAAAAACGAAAAAGGAAGAATATGGAAAACGGTAGTTAAGGGTTCGCTATCTCCGCGACATAGCCAATGCCCAATATTACAGGTCTCAGATGTGAACGGTTAAATTCCGGAATTCTAAGCTCTGTTCAATGGATACATCTCATCAAGAGAACTGCTTCCCGTTTCAGCAAGAACCATAATTATCATCATTGTTGTTTTCACTGCGAGTGGCAAAAACCCACAGGATAAAGTGACCATGTTAAAGCAAAAATAAGTAGGCAGCATGTGAAAACCACTGGCATCAAGATTCCAGCGGCAATGAACTGCGATTGTCGTTGTTTATAAACGTCAGATATGCAGGAAAACGGGGGCCTCCAACCACCCGTAAGAAGTATCAAGATTATCTTGATGTCACTGACACGATAGGCAGTGAGACGAAATCAAGTGATCGCAGAGTAATTTCCACTGAATCCTACGAGGTTCAAGGGATCATCGAGGCATGGATACTATAGGTCTTGGTACTTAAGTACCAGCACTTTACAAAGAAGTAATCGGCTCGTGATGGAGAGTAGTTGGAAGATTCTCGATCTCAAATCAGAAAACGATATAGTTAAAGATCGGCCTCCTCAGTTTGACAGTTGAATTAGTATACCCGTATAATGACTTCGTCAAACCATTCGCAGTGCTAGTGTAAAATGCTGAAAATGTTTTCAGATGGGTTCATATAGCCTCTTTCGAGTTCACTAGATTCAAAATATTCAGACATTTAGCAATATTAAACAATAGCAAAGGCGCTTCAGTTCCCGCGACAAAACGAGAAGTTGCCGCAAGAGCAGGACTCACTTCTTTCATTGCTCGGATTCGATTGTCAGTCACCTTTACACGATCGAAGTATTTCAAATGCAATTCGACTAAGCGATCCAGTTTTTCATGATCGTTTTCAACAAACTTGGACAAAACACGTGACTTCAGATTTGGCGGGCAATAACGAAGAAGGGCCCCAATGATGCTGCAAGCGATAGTGTAGGAAATGGCGAAACGAACGAGCTGATCAATAAGCAGAGCGACTATCAATGACGCTGGCGGCTGGATTTGTCAGCAGTGGAAAAATAAAACTACGTCCAGTCAATGACAGGGAAAACAAAGAAACGAACTCATGGGGACAAGCGAAAACTCCTCGAAGAATCAGCATTTCTGTAAGAGAAATATTCAGATAATGCTCATCATGCCGTATATTCGCTACACATGAGATGCAACTCAACTAGCGCCCTGCAATACAAATAAGTCAGGAGGTCGCTAAAAAAGAAACAAAGCAAGCAGTGTTAATGAAGAGCACCGAAAGGCGGAGTGTGGATTCGCGTTTCTATGGAGCCTAGTCGCATCCACATCCAGACAACCACTACGCATTCGGAATAGAATTGTCAAGTCAATATAAGCTTTATACACCCATGTGGAAGCATTTTCAGTAGTTTACACGAACACTGCTGAGACCGCAATATAACGTCAGTGGAAAAAATACAGTGACAAGGAAAACGAAAGGAGCGCATGTTTACTAAAGCAGTCGGGATCGTAAATGGCGCAACACTGTTTTTGGATCAAATAGCAAGCGTGACAGATAGGGCAAGATGCAGTGTTAGACAATGAAGTGCAAGAAAATAAAACGTAAATTTCGACCATGTGGAAGAAAGATACCGTATTGCCTAGAACAGAGTGTAGAGTGTGAGTGGCCGTTCACCATCGCGACGAGACTGGACCTTAACGTGGTGGGATGGTTTGTGTGCCTCAGTAATGCATTGACCTATGCTGGGTGGTGCTTTTTGCACCTTTAAAACCACTCATACTGGATTGGTCAAGGGTTAGGGGCCAGACAAACTTAGCCTCCTTGTCCTCTAGGTTGGGGGTTGGAATGAAGATGGCACGTTATGCCTTAAAACGGACTCCTTGTAGTTCAAAGCCAAACCCGCTGCCTTGCGGTCAGGTTTTTGAACCAATGGCTTTGGTTGAGAACCCTAATCGTTCTCCTGTCTAGGACTGAGCAACCTGACAGTATCCTGCCCACGAAATCCTATGAATCTTTCCTCAAACAATTTCCTGATTCTCTGGCCACCGCAGAGGATAATCTACGGTGCCCTATCTGCTGCATCGAGCAGGGTGGATGGGGGTTTGGCTACTACTGCTCAAGTCTTCCCGTCTTCTTATCCCCCTTCTTGCGCTTTTTCATCCTTATCGTCCCGCTCCAACTTCACTTTTATCCCCTCCAATTTTCAATCCCCCAATTCTTGGCCCTCCCCCACCTTGCTTCAATAGTCGCCTGTCTTCTAGTTTCGACTCACACAGTCGCAGTGTGTCGCTTAAATCCAGACCACAAGTCCATGTTCAACCAAGCGGACAACGTCAATTCATCCGTTTCCCTTTGGGGTCCTAGCCTCTCGCTAAGACTGGCATGCCTCAACGTGCGCCCTTTGTTACAGATTGGCCAACAGGCAGCACTTGTCCGCAAAACAGAGACACTATCGATGGATATTCCCCGTTTATCAGAAACCTGCCTGCGAGATCCGAGCTACGTGCTTACCCCGCGATCCCCAACATACGACACTAGCGCCACATTCTCATTGCACCTGTCTGGTGATGATGCAGCTTCAAATGCCGACTAAGCTAGCGTCGGTATTGTTCTCAGTCCCCGGACTGAAGCTGCCCTGCTTGATTAGATCCCAGTCAACAGTCGGATGTGCGCCGTTAGATAAACCGGTTCGTTCCATGTTACGAAGTCGCGCGGGAACAAACGGTGCCTGTTTGTCATTGCGGTAAACGCCCCTACAAACTGTGGCACTGATTCGGTGAATTATATCAGTAACTCCACGATCTCCTTCGTTACAGAAAATCGATCATATCGCAATCAGTTACCGCTGGAGAGGTTGTGTCGCTCGATTTGGAGCATGAGCGTGGACTCTGATCACGCACTTGTCTGCACCGTCCTCCGGGTGCGCTTCGGTGGACATCCGCAACATCGAGGTGAACGAACTGACACCAGCCAGCTGGCGAAGCCAGATGTTCTGTATGTGTATCAAAGTGCGCCGATATCCGGGCTGAGTAAGCGCCCACTGAACACCGTCGATGATCACTGGTCGCATATTCGTCAAACGTTACTACCAGCAGGCAGGTCTTCATGTGGCAAATCCAACTGCCAAACTGGACAGTGGGTCGTTGCACAGTCTCTGGAACTTATGGATGCTCACCGACGAATTCCGGCTGGAAGCGAATACAATGAGGCTCGCAAAAACCTCAGAACAAACCTGCGTGCTAGCCTGAAGAAACACCGCGAAGTCTGGTGGTCTCATCATGCTTCGGAGATGCAAACAGCCGCTACCGTTGGTAATCATTGTAAGTTATTCCATCTGATAGGAGAAACATGCAGCAGGAGACCTGGTGTTAGCGAGACCATACGCGACGAGAGTGGGCAGTCAAAACGCTTGGAGCGTTGGGCCGAACAGTTTGCAAGGCAATTTAACCAACCTGAGTTATCGCTTACATTTTCGGGTATTGAGCGCCCTTCTGTATGGGTCGTCTTCTTGGATCCGCTCTCACGCGTAGAAGTTGAACGTAAGATCAGGCAGTTGAAATTTGGGGGACCTGCTCCAAAACATTATTTACACGAGTTGTTAACGAAACTTTGGGAGCAGCAGACTGTCCCGACAGACTGGAGCCGCTCCGTTATAGTCCCAATTTTCAATGGAGGCTCCCGTTCGGAAGGCGGCAATCATAGAGGGATCAGTCTGATCTCAATTGCCTCTAAATTGTTTGCGTCTGTCATTCTGCACAGACTGACTGGCAACCGTGGAGGCCAGATTCGTGAAGCGCAAGCCGGGTTTCGTCGAGCTCGGGGCTGCATCGACCATATCTTCACCTTGCACCAATTGTTGGAGCACCACCATGTTTATTGGCGACCAACCGATGTTGTGTTTCTTGACATAAAAAGTGCCTTCGATTCAGTCGATCAATTTGCCCTTTGGGACTGTCTGCTGAGGAAAGGTGTGCCTGATAAATACGTAAACATTATCAAAGCGCTATGCGCGCATAGTTCGGGCAGAGTGAGGAGTTATGCCAAACTGTCGCCACGCTTCACTATCACCAGCGGTGTGAGACAAGGTTGCCCGCTTTCCCCTTTCCTATTAAAGTTCGGTGGTGATGAAGTCATGGAATCAGTATGCGCTGGACACGATCTAGGTGTGGAGCTACTTCCTGGTGAGCGACTCCCTGACTTGCAGTATGCGGACAATACTGCCCTAACCTGTTTACTAGATTTGGGTTTCCTGAGGAAATTGTGACAGACAACGGACCACAATTCACGAACTAGGAGTTTAAACGTTTCTTACAACTTCGTGATGTGAAGCACGTACATACTGTCCCGTATAACCCAGCTGCCAACGGCATGGTTGAGCGCACTAATCGCACGCTAAAGGAAACTATACAGACAGCACGTTTGTCCGGCAGGCAGTGGGAAGATGCCGTTTTGAAGGCTCTGTTTACTCACCGAACATCGCACCACAGAGCGACTGATCGCACGCCAGGTGAGCTGATGTTTGGCAGAAAGTTGCGTACGAAATTAAACGCAGCTATTTCGGCTGTAGAAAACAACGACCCCCACCAACTGGAACGTCGCCGGGGTTATCAGTCATTCTACGAAAAACGGGCTACATTGCTGCGTCCTGGAACGTTGGTCAGGATAAAGGAGAGGCAAACACGGAAAGGAGAACCGGCACTGACGAGACCCATCAGAATTACTCGTGCGCTAGGGCCAGGAACTTATAAGTTAGCAGACGGCCGACGAGACAACGCCAGACAGCTATATTCAGCACTTCAACCGAAGCAGTGTCCTGAAGCGAGGGCCACCGCAGTGAACCTACCGCTGAAGAAGGGGGAGTAGCGTGGCAGCGCGTACGCGCGGGCCTTACCAAGACCGCACTTCGTAGCTTGTGATTGGATGCCCGTCCGTTCGCGATCAATACCAGGGTTGTTTTGAATGTACTGAGTGTATGTACCGTTGGCGTGAATAGAAGTTCGTGTTGCGTACCAGTAGAGTTCTGCTGCCTGTTCGGGGCTTTGGTCGTGCTTGTTCAAGGCCCTGCGTGCAGGGGACTAGTGTACGTATAGACACAACACAACCAAATCCGCTGAGGCTGCTTCTGGATCGCCAGAAAGACGCAAGTGATATCTGGCATCGTGGTCAGTGGGGGATGTCAATGTAAGCACAGTGCTGGGATCCATCAGCCGAATTTCTGAAATGCAGCAGGCATCAATGTCTAGGGAATCTAGGGTGCGCGCTAGACCGGCTTGTTGTCCAATCTGCACGAGTGTCCAAACCTTGAAGCACGCCAGACGGAACGAGGATCGGGGACGAAGGAGAACCATAGATTGAACTCCTTGGTCTGCGGCGCAACCGGAATCGCAGCCAGATTGTTGAACACATGAATCGGGTAACGGAAAGTGAGGATTGTTAACAAACAAACAATTGGCGTGTGATGAAATAGCGTGAAAGTGACTAGCAGAAACAGTAGCTGATGAGCACGTTGTAGTACAGTCCATGGTTTTGCGAGAGGACGTGATACTACCCGGTTGTCGAAGCCGAAGTAGGGAGTTGACTTAGGGCACTCCACCCCGAGTCTTTGGTTAAATAACCTACCCGCAGGACAGCGGGGCGAATTTAGGGAATCGCGCCAATTGGGAGGCGTTGACTGAATGTTCAGTTCATGCGCCTTTATTTGGTAAATTACCAAACAGGGGCCCAATACTCCCCATGAAGTCAGCACACCTGCTGGAATACCATGTCCCACCGAGGTGAAACATTGTCACCGAACACATTGCTGGAATGGGTTATACCCGAAATACCCAGCTGGCACCACGAAGAGGTAATTCGGCAAGCCAGCCTGATGAGCGACTCCTTGATTTGGAGTACGCGGACAATATTGCCCTAACCTGTGACAGCTCCCAAACATGCCAAACAGCACTGGA